TCTCAATACCGAAGAAGGGTTATAACAGGAACAATTAGTAGTGGTACTCTACTGTTTGACCAGTATTGTATAGACCAGTTATCCGGAACATCCACCTGACTATACGAAACAGTGTTGTAGTCAGTGGCGGACCGTCAAGGCAAGCAAGGTATGCAGTGCATACCCTGGCTAAAACAAACAAAAAAAATATAATAGTACAGTTTCTCCGTTTTATTTAGCATTTCTTAGTCAGGATCTTCTATATACACCCTAATTTTTCGAATGGAATGCTATTCATTGGAATAGCAAATCCGAAAGGTCCACTGATTAATCTCAGATAAGAAAGTATAATACATAGGCCTACTCCAAGTATTGAAATACACGCCATCGTGTTGGGATTCAATGTCGAAATATTAAAAATAACATGCATTGTATTTTGACTATAGAACGCAATCTGATTCTGTATAGTAGTAGGCTTACGAATTTTTCCTATCACTAGCAGGCCCTAGCATCAGTGGCGGGTCTTGAAATGGAAGGGAGCCGATGGTGTTAGGAAGGTAAAGTGGGGGATCGGTGATTATGAGGGGTTAACTCGCAAAATAAGGTGATATGAGGTGATTTTTAATTACTTGAGCATGATTTGTGGGTCGCAGGGGCGCGACTGGGGGATGGGCGAGTATTTTTTTTCAGAGGTAGGGGGAGGACGTGCAGCCCCTTGTACATTCTAGATATGCCAATTCCTAGCATACCCTACAATTTACCCTACGGTCCGCCACTGGTTGTACTGGAATAAAAGTAAGAAGTAAACAAGGGGGTTTACATTTTTTCTGTTAATTTATGTACACGTATATATATTTATATACATAGACCTCTATATAAAGTATACCGTATTATTTGGTGAGGAAATTTCTGGCTCAACACAGGCGTTATAGACTTCAGTTAGATGTGTCGATATAAAGACTAATAAATTTTCCAGAAATATTACGGCTTTTTTAACCCGCGACTGAGATGGGACTGTTTCTGCTGACGATAAAGAACCTCTTTAGCCACACAGGGGAAATGAACATTAATCTATATTGCAATGTTATACACCCGTTATTTGGCGAGGAAGGATTTTTAATGATCTAATTTTCGATTATATGCTAACCTACCCATACAAAGTTAACAATAGGCCTATTCTTATTCGTAGTGTGTTCATTATACACGGTATAAAGGAAATATAAGACTAATGAGTTATTCAGAAATTCCGATTTTTTTTTCACAGGGCCTATTACCTTACAGATCACATATATTATGTGTGCGGCAAGCTATTCAGCCATGCACCAAAATTCATATATAGGCCCTAGACCTACAAGCCTATAAATAAATTTTGAACGTTAAATATGTATATATTTTATATATATAATTATATATATAAATATCCATAGCCGATGGCTACCTTGTAATCTGTCTCTTATACACATCTAGATGTGTATAAGAGACAGTATATATATATATAGTATACATATTTGTATATATAAATTGTAATCGGTGTAGGAATCTGTGTGTGCGATAAAAAAAAATCCCCAACCGAGATTCGAACCCAAGACTTTCTGCTGTCTATGCAGCCGCCTTAACCAACTTTCGTTGGAAGTTCGAATCCGATTGATTTCGCACTTTACGTTTTGCCAATACAACACTAGTTTCCGGAGCACACACGTGAAACAGAGATCAGGGTGGTACGCCAACTTTTTAAGCATCTTAAACCGTAGAGAAAATAAATGTTTTATTTTCTCTATACTTAGACTAAAGCAGAGTTGTTTGGTAATGGTAGAGTAAACTTACTCGAAGAATTGAATGCGACCGCCTTCCGCACTGATGTTCCAAACCCTGTCCAAACCTCCCACCTCCATGGATCCTTTGATAATTATCGCCACGAATCCTACCACCATTACAGTAACCTGGAACACATCAGTCCACAACACTGCTTTCATGCCTCCCTTTAAACGAACATAATTCGAAAGTAATTAAATTCTTGAAATTAGACCTAGATAGTAATATCAAGTTTTTATGGTCATTTTACTTTAACAATAATATGGCTGTGAACGATGGTTCGAAATTCAACTTTCTGCGCTAAAGAATACTTAGTCCCATGTTCATATTTACGCACCCAATGGGCATGTAACGATTACCTGGTTAGGCAATAATCACAAAGACCGTTTGACTATATTACGCCAGTTTTTTTCTCTATGATACAATTAAGTACAATATCAGGTGCGAATCCACGATATTACTCCCCCCCCCACCCCGAATTTGGGGGGGGGGGGAGAGAAATTGAGTTTTACTGTAGACATACTTATAAATTGAAAATTATTTTATTTTTCATCATCCAGCGAAAGAGCGCTTCTTTCGCATCACAGAGCCATCAATTCGCAACTCAAAGCAAAAAATATATAGGCCTAATTATATGAGATTCTAGTATTGAAGACTTACAATGGTTGTGTAAAAGGTGCACACAATACCGATAGCAAACACTGCTCCCCATAAGTCAAGACCAGTGACTAAAAAAAAATAAAAACACCAACAAATTCAATGCTATAATAAACATGGAACCGTTTGGGCAATTCATGTGTTATATTTTATCCTTTGTACGAGACAATTGTGTAGATGTGATAGAATTTTTGAACTGCTTTTTACAGTTCAGTTACTTTAACAGTAGAGTTTGGAGATACTGCCTTGTTTGCTGGGGTGGAAATATTACACGAAGAAATAGAAACTGATCGATCGTCTCGTCAGGAGGGTAGGTATGATGATTGGTGTGAACCTGCTCTTTGTGGAATCAGTCTACGTCGAGCAGCTGAAGAGGAAATTCGATGAAGTTTTTCTGGATGCGGCCCATTCACACCAACATGGTATTATTGAGTTATTCAGCGATGGTAGACCGAGGCCACCGACTGTCCACACCAATCATTATTCCTGCTCATTCATTCCTTCTGTCGGAAATAGATTTTATGAGATGATTTTAAAGATGCAAGTTTGCAATGTCTTACACAGAAGATTAATACACTATCCCTTTTATTTGTACATTTTCCTATATTGTTCCTGTTTCCTTATATTGAGCAATCTTATCCATATATTATCGTACATCTATCCGTCTTTATATCTAAATGACATACCTGCATTTAATGCTAGAGAAGGTGCGTATATGACAATTCCCATGTAAATTACCTAGATAAAGGAAAGAAAATAAATTATATATATATATATATATATAAATTATATATATATATATATAAATGATTGAATAAACATAATTAAGAGTCATAATAATAAAATATGCATGCAAATATTGACGATGAATGTAATATAATGAACGAAATAGTTAAAATTAGAACAAAACATATGTATTCAACTTTCATTCAAGCAAAATTCATTCCATCTCGCAAATGGGATGTTGTGTTCATCACAGAAAATGTATTGGAGCGGCGTTTTGAAAAAATAGAAAATATGCACAACTAAATTATAAAATGTTAAATAAAATTGTTCCTACTAACTTACAGCTATATAAGTGGAAACTGAAAAAAAAGTAATGGATGTGACATTTGTGGTGTAATCGAAGATGAGAAACACATGTTCTTCGAATGGATACGTAACGACATACGATGGAGAAATATAGATAAGATTTTCAAAAAATTATACAACAACAAATATTCTTTTAAAGAACTTCTTCTAGGTTGTAAATGTGAATTCATGAGCAGCTATATTCAATTACTGTTTTTTCCATCTATGGCACCTCCGCCCCCAATCCCCCCACCACCACCATTTTTTAAATATTCAAATATCTGTATCTCATTAACAGTTCCCAAGTTAGATTGCATATACAGTTAGGCCTACCGTATGCTGATTCATTCTTAATTCAATTTAATTCAATTTTATTAGCTACAAGTGCCATCAAGGTCAAATATCCGTATCAACAATGTATTTACAATAATTATATTTCCAATAAACTTACTAAAACTATCAATAGGCATATTCAATATAGAGTACTCAACACACAAAACATCATCTTATGTTGTGTATTATTTCGATTTATATCTATAGATCCTGCATTAAAATGAATATAGGCCTATATTTTAATGTCTGTATTTGAAGAGAACATTGGGTCTGCCAAAACCATGAATGATACATAATGTTTCAATATTTTCTTCCAATTTTTTAGAATGAATTAGCCATACTGATTCGTTATTAACCATTTCTTGGTAGCCACGCATCAAATCCTGCGCTCGTTCGACTCAAATATCCACTTAATTACAAAAATACAAACATCGAGGCCTACTAACACTATCGGTATTCAATGGAGCACTGTACATGCCTAGCAAAACATCAGCTTTTGTACGGTATACTATTCATATTACTTTGACGTCTGTAAAAAATTGCACTAGAACCGATATTTTAAAAGTAGTAGCAAATGTTCAGTTTGGTCTGGCAAAACCGTGGTTTTTGGTGTCTAATAGAATCATTATAATTAAAGACCGGCACGCGAGCAGTCAGGGGTCCCAAGTTGGTAGAATCGACAATCAGGAGATCTGCCAAAACCATGAATGATAGATTATGTTTCAATATTTTCTTCCATTTTTTAGAATGAATTAGCCATACTGATTCGTTATTAACCATTTCTTGGTAGCCATGCATCAAATCCTGCGCTCGTTCTACTCAAATATTCATTTAATTACAAAAATACAAAGATCGAGGTCCTACTAACACTATCGGTATTCAATGGAGCACTGTATAGGCCTACACAAAACATCAGCTTTCGTATACTATATTTATATTATTTTGACGTCTGTAAAAAACTGCACAAAAACCGATATTTTAAAAGTACAGTAGTAGCAAATGTTCAGTTTTGGTCTGGCAAAACCGTTGTTTTTGGTGTCTAATAATAGGATCATTATAATTTAAGACTGGCACGCGAGCAGTCAGGGGTCCCAAGTTGGTAGAATCGACAACCAGGAGATCTCTTAATAAATGAGTTTTTCTTAACATAGTATATTTTACTGTGCATGGTGATAACTATTATGATTAGCACTGACTTCAGGAAACGATTAAGCATGCAAATCAAATTATGAATATGGGTTTGAGATTGATTACCCGGGAGGCACAATAATTACAGGAAAATTATGAAAGAACCGCCATCTAAATAAGGCATACAGTACTGGCATTTCCTTATAAACTGTTATAACAACAGCTCGTGTATTATCATACGGTACCGTACCATTTTTTACGTCTGTTCGATACTATTTGATATTTTCATAGACAAGGTATTCTTCGTCACACATGTGCACCATTTACACACAAACACCGCCGAGAGAATTGGCACTATTATCAAAAATAGGTCCATATACCATTTGACCAACGTATTATCCTCAAATGTTGTTTTTTTTTTTTTTTTTTTATTGTGGAATTTTCTTCTCTTTGTACTTTATTATCCTGTTGGGTGGGGGCATTCCCCCGTAAAATTTTGGTTTTATAGACGCCAAAAAATATCCTCTGATGTGTTTTGGGCGATCAATAAAATTTTTCTTTTTCTTTCTACGGTACTTTCCAAAGGGGGAGGGCCGACCCCCGAAATCCGCCCCTTGGTAAGATGCTAACCTTCAAATCACAGGGTGATTGATTTAAAGACTGTTACACTAGGACAATTTAAATGGCTAAAAAAAACACCACCACCCAAGCCTCAAGGGGAACAGCCACACGATGTTGAATAAAAATGATATGCAAAAACCCAAAATATGAAGATCCCAACCAAATCGAATATCTAAGCATTTTAAACAGTCATGTGCACATACGAATACACATTACGATATCGTGCAATTTGAATTTGGGCTATTCTCTTTTTTAATTGCTTTGGTTTCTGAAAAAGTTCGAAAAAAGACGGGACAAAAAAAGCATATTGCTGTAATCGACGGAAATTCTGAACAAACAAAACTTCAAGGTCATTGTTACGTCGAATTAAATTATATCGAATATCCTGATGACGATCCTTATAAGTGCATCATGAATGAAAAACATCTGTACGAATTATCATACGTGGTATTCCTATAGTTTAAGCACGGGGAGCGGATAAACAAATACGGTAGTTATAGTTTAAAGCACAGCGGGTATTCTGTATGGTATAAACAAATAGTTATCAAGAAGGCGATTTTTATGTAAAGTTTGATAGAATAAAAAAGAGGGGTGAAAAGAACATACAGTATTAAACAGTTGTGGAAAGCGGGATGCAGGGGGAAGTTACTTCATGTTGTTGCTCTCAGGTCAAAGGTGAAAATGCTCTCCCAGTTAATAATTAGAAAAATACATATGTTTCATAATTAAGAAGCTTCTTTATCAAATCGAACAAAAATAAATGGGAGTTGCAGTCCCATTATATTCATTTGTATTCTGAAGTGCAACAAATTTAACAAACAGAAAGCATAATTTGACATTTTGAAGATCTTGTCAAGGTGGTGGCATGTCAGCTTATTCCGTTAGAGGTTTTATTGCACAGCGTTTTATAGGCTTAATGTCTCGGGGCTTAGGCTGATGCTTTATCCTTGGTCAATCCTACCACGGGGAAAAACAGAATTAGGCCAGATCAACGAATTATTACCTGTAACTGTATTTGAATGTTTAATTGTGTGTATTGTGAACGAATTACAAATAAAGCTAAATCCATCAAATCAATTTAGGCCTACAGTTAGTCAAACTTGGAAACTATTTAAAAAAAAACCAAAAACTATAACACAATTTGGGGTAGTATAGTAGGCCTGTTGGGTATTTTTGCGCTAATCATCCGCCGGGCCATGAGCGAAGTGGCCTCTCTTAAGTCTTCTGACCTCTTGTGCCATCCCTGCTCAATCAAGAAAGATTCAGCATCTGTCTTCTTGAATATGTAATTTTTAGACTGCATGAGACAGACCCGATCAATAATAGGCTTTAAAGAGCAAATTAGAGAACTCTTTACGACTGACAAAAGCTGAAAAGAATACACAATTGAAAAACGATCATCGTTTCCCCCAAATGTATAATAACTTAACAATAACATTTCTCCCAAATGTATAATAACTTAACAATAACATTTCTCGTATCTCTCAACCCAAGTCAGCTGTGCGTTGTCCTGACAACGTGACCGTTAACCCCAGAGTTTAACTCTTGTTTATACGTTAATAATTTCGTTGACCTGGCGAGCCTAGAGTGTCGCTTTACATCTAGGCCTATTAAATTAAAGTATAAAGAATCACCTCACTTAAAATGGTTTGTAAATTGACATTAAATCTGTCAGGAATAATGTTTCTGATATTATTTAATTGGCCAATTATGTATCTACTTCTCTTTCAGCTTTTGTATGTAAAAACAAAAATCTCCCGATAGAGATGATAAAGAAGAACCTGCACGTATTTCAACCGGTATTTTTTTCTTGCATCCGCCTTGAGCAACTGGATCACTGGGGCTTCGTTGGGAATAATCGAATCCAAAGGGATTTAACTGTGTGAAGGACCAGCGCTAGTAACAAAGATCAATACGATACGGCCCCTTTCTAGAGGAAAAAAGTTTATTTTTAGACACGCCTTATTGATAGCGGCTCCAGTTTCACATAATAGTAACAACCTGCATTCCACACTTACCATTTGCAAAGAGAACGTCACCATTCCCATGAGTCGAACCACTTTATTGAAACGTTTCTCAAGGTACTGAAATGAAAATAAAACTTTTGTCAGGATCGGTTAGAAATAGTATAGCCATGATAGGACAATATTAGTATGAATGAATTTTGTATACGAGATAGTCCTATTGGACGCCATATTAAGACGCTCCTGCAAACACAATTCTTGGCAAAAAATTCTACAGTGATCGAATGCTTTGGCAAACAATACTGTATTACAGTGATAACGAATGCGGACGGTATTTGTAGTATAGCTTTAACGATATTAATTCTAGTAATAGAGTATACTGTATCCTTTGCGGCATACTTGCTCATATTATAATTTATCAAGTTATCAAACTTCAAATGAAACAAAGATAATTTTTTCTTATAATTGGTGGAATCTGTTCACTGAAAATAAGAACAATACAATGTTATTTTATGCGCCTGTTTATTGGAAAAGGAAAATTGTAAAGGAAATATTTCCTCTTTCTAATGTCCGATTGAAAGCCTACATAACGTAAATACAGAAAATAAAACACATTTGATTTATTGTTCAACTATATAGCTAAACGTAAACAATAATCCTGTCTCTTATACACATATATATATATATATATATATATATATATGTGTGTGTGTGTGTGTGTGTATATGTATGTATGTATGTGCGTATGTATGTCCCAAGTTCGAATCCAAAACAAACTAAACAAAAAACAAAACAGAAACAAAAAAAAAAGTGATCAAGACCAAAGATAGTAAACAATACTGCTTATTTCGACGGGAAATTGACGTCCGGCGACCAGAGAATCTAATCGCTTTAGACTAGGGGGTTGACATGAAATGGGAGAATTACAGCGATGTTTCCACAAGGTGTTTCACTTTATCATATATCCTAAACACTTCGACAGGAAATGGGAGCATTACAGTGATGTTTCTACAAGGTGTTTCACTTTATCATATTCCAAACACTAGTTTGAGAATTATTGCCTGGTATGAGAGTATGAAGGCAATCTTCGTCAAAAATAATTGCTTTCATTTACAAAAGTACAGCAACATCATCGCAATGCCATAATAATGAACATGTCTATCTATACATTCTCTCCAAAACGTTTAATGGATGTCATTATTTTGTAAATATTGTACATATTGTCCGTAAATATTGCTTTTAATTAATCATAAATTGTTTAAATATATAATTATTTCTAATCAATTCGAAGTGATATAAAGTAAAGTTACTGTATCTTCATGAAATAGCTCTATATAAATGCTGTGATGTATATATCCCATGCCTATACATAAAAACTTCTCATCTTGCATAATGTTTAGGCCGAGATTCAATGTGTTTTAGCAAGGTTTTAGTTAGCGCCAAATTATTTCATTCTAGGTATTTTCATACGCAAGGTATGTAAATGGCCGGTCACTAACGTGTTATATCAACCAGTACCGTATACAGATGTATAATATCGTAAGATTTTTTTAGCAAGTCAATAATCCAATCAATCCTGGGACTTCGGTTGTTGGCATGATTTGAACTGCAGAGTGGAATACCATTCTTCAGGTCAATATCAAAATGAGGATATTTCTCTTGGACAGATGAGAGCTCCGATCCCTGGACAGACAGTATATTTCCAACTTTTCTCTTCTTATATATTTGTCTAGGCCTAGTCCAGATCATCTTTTTCTTTTCCGACAATTTTGCACCTTTAGCACATTCTCGTCTGAGTTTTCAAGAAAACCTGCAATGATCCTGCCATCCTGCTAATCTCAATCGGCCGATGGCCAACAAGCTAACCATTACCCACCACCACTAATTGCAACTGCTATTCTGCTGTTATGTAAATATTCACAGCATTTTTGTCATGAGCCATGTTCTCTGGAGGATTATCTTTTCTGCCGCACCACCATTCGTAATGTTCTTATATAATAATTTTTCATTCAAAAAGTGCCTCTTGAACTTATAAGTTCGCATAAGAACCCCTCGATTTCCATCTATTTCCATAAGCGCCCCATCAACTTCCACTCTGTTTTCATAAGCGCCCCGTTCGAATAAGCGCCCCTCAAAAAGAGCAAAAAATATTTTAAGCGCCCGGGCGCTTATTCGCGCGAGTACGGTATTTTAAAAAGTACAATCACAAGTAGGACGGTTAACGATCAGTGGTAGGCCTACGTTCAGGCAAAACTTAAGCATAATATGAATAAATAATTAATAAGCTCTAATGCGAGGTAAACGATAATCCTACAGACCAAGCAGGTATTAAAATAATAGACTATCTCCTTGTTCAGACTATACATTCATTAACGTAGCGTGTTTTGCAAATGACCATCAACAAAAATACGAGTTGTTCCACAAACGCACAATGTCGTTTGCGGGATCTTTCCAGGTATACAATGACGGGAAAAGTCAATTAAATTAAACATTTCAAAATGACCACCTCAATTTATATTATGCCTCCATCCGTCAGGAATGGGTCAATTTAGGCCTACTACAAATTTTCTCAATGAGTTTTGACTTCCCCCGTGACGTAGGGTGGTTTGAAATCAGTGAATTTGTTTCCAGGAAAGCCTTTTATTTTCGGTGATCTAAATTGTATTAATTTTAATGTTCCTTACCATGTGCATGGTCATGTTGAACATTATATAATTAAATTTGAAGATGTTGTCATTGTGAAGTGCTATGTTGATTAACATTTCCTAATCTTCTAATGTGCCTCTCTAAAAAAGCTTAACGCAACACTAAGGGGCAATAGGCCTACTTACTGTTTAAATATAACAAACTTGATAATAGCCTATTTCTGCCTCATAACAACATTATTGCAGGCGACATACCGCAATCTTCGATTACAATAATTTTTAAATATTTCAGATCAAAGTTATTGTGTTATGCTTCATTGTTTATTTGATATCATCACCACCATCACCCTCGTCATCAATCATTACCATTATCATTATCATCATCATCATCATAAACATTATTATCACTCATCATCATAATCATCATCATAATCATCATCACCATCACCATCACCACCATCATCATCATCATCATCATCATCGTTATGATGATATTATCATCGTTATTATTGTCATTAATTATATTACTATTATTATTAGGCCTAGGATATTATTATCATCATCACTATAATTTTTACTTAAAAATGCAGCATTACTCAATAAGTAAACGCGTTCTAGTAACAACACCACAATCACAGTTAGGGGGGCCTATCTCAAAATCCATTCTAAATAATAAATCAAAAGTACTCAATTATCAAAACATTACATTGTTTACAAACAATGTGTCCGACTACAGCCACTCTACCTCGATTTAACTATTTTCAGCTACATTAACCAAATTAAAAAGACGTAAGGAACATTGCCATCCGCGCGTACAAATTTATTAATCGTCCGTTACTATAGATAGTAGAAGTTAATATGCAGGTAAGGTCACAATAGAATATTACGTCATCATAATTCATAATGATTTATTCATAATTTTATTAATTTTATTTAACTCATTATGGGTTGAAGTATTCGAGGGGGGGGGGTTGAACAAAAGGTGGGATTATTAAGTGGTGTTGTGTAGCGTGGCGTTTTAGGTTTGTCATGTTTCGTTAAATTTTATAGTCCGTGTTCTTTAGAAATTGGTGACAATGAGAGTGAAAATTGAGACAAAATAGAGATAAGTTCGCCAGTGTTGGATTTACAGTCACAAAATTACAATCACCCGAGCAATTCAAACTAGTCACCAAATTTTCAGTCACCAAACTGTTACCGATAATCCCCTAACATGACCCTTTTGTTTTCAAATTCAATACACTCATGCTTGAATTCCGTATATACAAAATAATATGAAATGACCCTTCGACAGTTGACTTGTCAGGACGAAGGGCTCTTTATTCATTTTTGTTAGATCAAAGTTATTGTGTTATGCTTCATTGTTGATTTGATAATCATCACCACCATCACTCTCATCATCAATCATTACCATTATCATTATCATCATCAGCATCACAAACATTATTATCACATCATCAACATAATCACCATCACCATCACCATCACCATCAACATCACCATCACCATCAACATCACCATCACCATCATCATCATCATCATCATCATCATCATCATCATCATCATCATCATCATCATCGTTAATGATATTATCATCGTTATTATTGTCATTAATTATATTACTATTATTATTAGGCCTAGGATATTATTATCATCATCACTATAATTTTTACTTAAAAATGCAGCATTACTCAATAAGTAAACGCGTTCTAGTAACAACACCACAATCACAGTTAGGGGGGCCTATCTCAAAATCCATTCTAAATAATAAATCAAAAGTACTCAATTATCAAAACATTACATTGTTTACAAACAATGTGTCCGACTACAGCCACTCTACCTCGATTTAACTATTTTCAGCTACATTAACCAAATTAAAAAGACGTAAGGAACATTGCCATCCGCGCGTACAAATTTATTAATCGTCCGTTACTATAGAAAGTTAATATGCAGGTAAGGTCACAATAGAATATTACGTCATCATAATTCATAATGATTTATTCATAATTTTATTAATTTTATTTAACTCATTATGGGTTGAAGTATTCGAGGGGGGGGGGTTGAACAAAAGGTGGGATTATTAAGTGGTGTTGTGTAGCGTGGCGTTTTAGGTTTGTCATGTTTCGTTAAATTTTATAGTCCGTGTTCTTTAGAAATTGGTGACAATGAGAGTGAAAATTGAGACAAAATAGAGATAAGTTCGCCAGTGTTGGATTTACAGTCACAAAATTACAATCACCCGAGCAATTCAAACTAGTCACCAAATTTTCAGTCACCAAACTGTTACCGATAATCCCCTAACATGACCCTTTTGTTTTCAAATTCAATACCCTCATGCTTGAATTCCGTATATACAAAATAATATGAAATGACCCTTCGACAGTTGACTTGTCAGGACGAAGGGGTCTTTATTCATTTTTGTTAGTATCAGGTTTATGGAACAATGACTAAAGAAATTTCTAATTCTGAATGGCTATTACTGTATTGTGTGTAAGGATTAGACTAGGACCTGAGTTACAGGTTACATATAATGTGTGTGAATGTGTTCGATAAAAAGTGAAACAAATCAATCCTAATTGAAGTTGATAACGCAATGCTTCCTTTTTGGAAGAAGGTATTTGATTTTCATTTGTTATTGTAATTTCATTTGTAATCAATATATAATATTTCAATATTTATGGTTTTTTCAGATTTCACCTTAGATACTTGATATTTCGACCTACAAACCATAAATAGTTGTTTTATTTACAATTATCCAGTTTCTTGATTCTGCGGAGTAAACTAATCATAGACCTATCATAAATTATCATAATCGTAAAAAAAAATACAAAAATGAGTTAATATTTTTCAGTGAGGTTACTATCAACTGCATTTAAAGGTACCTGGGAATTGTCGTAAGCTTAACTTACCTCGTAAGCACTTGTAACTTCGAGATTGTAAAAAACGGGCAGATAAAAGTATGCTGAAGCAAGACCAGTAAAGATATAGGCGAACCCAAACATCCAATACATACACCCATACACGTAATTTTCCGCTGGGGTACCCAACACAGTAATAGCAGAGATAAAGCTGGCCACTAAAGATATTCCAACAGGGAATGGATTCATGTTTCGATTTGCCATCAAAAATTCGTTTGTGGTTTGCTGTTTTCCACCGGTGCATCCATAAAATAAACCAATTCCGACAGATATTGCTAACATGGCCGTTAAAACCACATAATCAGCGGCTTCGAACTGTCTTTTGACGGTTACTTCTTCCATTTCTGCAGCTGTATAAAAAATTAGTTCGAAGTCGAAGGAGGAAAAAAACAAAATAAAAGCTTTGTTTCGCGTCGCGTCCCTTGCAGTACTTTATCCTAATCCACATAGGTCACGTATCGTAGTGGGCGGCAATACGCTTCAGGCTTATTTCCATTGGACAAGATAGAACTATACTATAGAAGTATAGAACTTTCAAATTTTACACGGATACATAACGTTGCGTAGGCCCCTACCTGTCGCCTTTGTAACTCTTTTTAGCTTTCTTTCAGGTACAATCAATAATTGGGATCTTTAGCATTGTATGTTATTTCATCTACCTTCTCGACAAGTCTAGGTCTGACAATAAATTTCTACGTCATATAAGGTTTAATCAGGCCTCCTGTGGATGCAAAGTGTTTGTGAAAATCCCGAAGGTAAATATTTGCATTGCATTTGTAGGGTATACTGTATCATCAACAGGGCACTGCACTAACAAGGACTTGTTTGTACATAAATAAGGGCGAGAAAACATAGACAGACACTGAGCAATGAAAGACGAAATACTGTTGCTGCCAATTAAATAAAAATTAGACCAAAAAATAGAACGTGGAGCCGTCAGGGGGTGCCGTAGAGGAGTTGGGAGTGGGAACTCTCTATATTACTTTAGCTAACTTAGTACTTGGTGACAGGTTTAAAAGTAAGTTTTTACTTAATTAGATAATGGAGTTATAATGGATGATTATGCCTAGTATTATTTATCGGCATTAAAATTATTTAATTATTTCAACACTTCAATATCTTATTATTTTCAATAATGGATAGTTTAGTATAGGCCTATTAGTAAATTCTTATACATAATATATTAGGAATATAAACACACAAGGTTCTTGACTCCATCCATAAACAACCATGGTGCTACAACTAATCGAATTTTCACACTTGCGCGAGAAAAATATCGGTCAGAATGAGGGCGCTAGTACTTAAGACATGAAATGCCACATTAATGTTTAAATGGTTATGTTTCACTAAAGTTTGTTTTTTTTTTGTTTGGTTTTATTTATAATAAAGGTTAAATACAGTAATATATTGATTTCAATGTACACTTTAATGTACTTAGGGTATCATTTGTGAAATAATATTTCCACAGGATAGATGCGTTTGTATGGGTAAAATTGGTTACAAACTCCGCTAGTAGTAGGCCAAAAGAGTAGGCCTACAGTATTATGGAGCGTTGCCAAATTGACGTAACGTAGCTCTCCCTAGTGGCGAATGATAAAATATCGGCGGATACGACAAACCTAACTGTGATGTACATACCCCCAGAAACGCAAGGACCGCACGAGTCATATATATATATAGACATAATGGTTTGAATGAATCGACAGCAATACTTACTTTTATGTGTTACAAATTCCTATCTACTTTTTTGTAAAACGTATGATACTCTTGGATCATGGAATTAATAACTATTAAAATCATGGAGGAGTTATTGTTAAAGCATACCGTAAGTATCATTGATCATGAAGTTAAATTATAGTTACCATAATTTCGGACAAAAGGCCCGTTTACACTATGACAATAACGTTAAACGATAAAAAGACAAAGAGTAATTGTTCATATAAAAAATAAAAGAAATAGGCCTAAGAGAAGTTTTCACATTAGCACGATTCGACAACGAATTTATCGTGTATACGATAAAAAAAATATGTCACAAATCAAATCAAATGACGTCATAATCAAGAGAAAACGATAAAATGAACAATTGCTTTTAAGTTTTTATTGTTGATCGTTATCGCCTAGTGTAAACAGGCCTTAAGTGATTTGTACTTTTGACAAAAAATGCATGCATCTGAGAGGAATCTTAATGTAGGCCTAATATCAAAAAACCCAACAGAATATAAAATGACTTCAACGAGTGTTTAGAAAAATATACTTTGGTTGGAGTTTCAGGTAATGACGGTTAAAAAATGGTAGTCTTGGACGTCTTCCGAGAGAGATGAGAGAGAAGGACGAGGGAGCGACAATGTTCATCTATTTTCACCGCAAACACGTCATTATGACAACGTTCTAAATAGGACCAAATGAACTCAACTTCGACCAACTGAACTGTTTGTTTAAACCTCGAATGGTTTGGACGGTTGATGGTCAAGCAGCTGTTATACAGTGGTCATTACACGTTATATCATTGATCATGGTTGTGATGAATTTACCATTTTTGTGGATCAAGTAGGCCTACTTTAATATGGGTTATATCAATATAAGCTCAGCCTTAATTTGGCACGAGCTTTCTATACAAGAGAAAACCAAAAGCATTAAAAGCGTTAGCACTTTCCATGACCACCCAAATCCACTCCCAAATTTGGATCGTTACCAAAATTTGATCAGTTCATCCCTGTCTTGTAACCTGGTTAACCATTCCAGAAAGTTGCATTCAGATCAGTTGATTAGTTTTTGAGATATCTGGTCAAGGACGTTATGCTCCTCATATTGGAACATGGAAAATTACTCTAGAAAATGTCAGCATATCCATTGATCAATTTTTGAAATATTTATGTCTGGGACGTTAGTATTTAAATGACCCCAAATTCACACCAAAATTTAATGGCTAACAAACTGGTTTTGGGCCACGATTATTCAAATACGGTAGGCACAAAGCCAACAGATCTATACATGACGTCAATAAGTTTATAAACTAAAACACATTACCTACAAAAGGTTGTTTCCGATACTCTTGAATCAATATCCGGAATGTGCAACATTGCTTTTAGTCTAACTTCATGTAAACTCAGGCAAGACTGCGAGAATTGTTAAAGTAGTTAAAGCCAGGCTTTTTCCTCGTATATAGCTCACAATCATGGAGAAAAGATTCCTACATCTATGTTACACTCTTGTACTCCATCTCTCGATACTGTACATGCCACAGTATCAGAGCAGTTCTATCGTTGCTCTTCTTGTGTTAGTTTGAAGACTAACATGCAATAGCGCAAGTCGTTTAGAATAGACATTTACTACAATTTCATCTTCTACATAATATACTTTATCTTAAAAAAACGATTGAATACTTTGAAACCCCTAAATCCCTGGTTCTTAATAGGCGGCCCGCGGGCCAAATTTGGCGTGCAGGACAATTTAATTTGGCCCGTGAGGAAACAAAATAATAATTTTTAAAAATTTAAACATGGCCGGCGGAAAATATATAATATCTATGGAGATTTTTGTATGATCAGAAGGAAATGCAAGAAAAGAAAGAGGAAAGGAGGAGGATAGTGTTTATCCAGTCCGCGACCGATTTAGACTTCCTCACAATTCACATTAATGGATCTGGGGGATCAAGGGCCCTGACCCCCTCCCTTGGGAAAAAAAATTAAAGGAAATTTTACCTGACCGTTTTTAAGGGAGAAAACCTTGAATTTTTTTGAAGAATTAAAAGTCATTAAAAGACACTTCAGAAGTCGGAAAAGCTCATTCCCGTCATTTAGAAATCAACATTTTCCAGGGGAGAACCCGAACCTTTCTCTTTGGGGTTCATTGACTCATGGAATTGTTTTCAAGAGGCGGGGGGAACCTTGAATTTTGAAAGACTTAAAAGTTATTTAAAAACACCTCAGAAGTCAGGAAAGTTCATTTTCTGCCATCTGGGAATCAAAATTTTCTCGAGGGAGAGCCTCCGGCCCCCCCCCCTTTTTTTAGGTGGGGGAGGGGGTAATTCATGGAAAAAAGAATAGGCCTACGTATGCAAACTACTCAAGAGGGAAAAACCTTCAATTTTGGAGATCTTAAAAGTCTAAAAGACATTCGAAAGTCGGGAAAGCTCATTTCCCGCCATCTGGAAATCGAAATTTTCCCGGGGAGAACCCGGCGAACTCTTCCTTTCTCTTTGGCGTTTATTGATTCATGGGAAAAATAACACGTATGCAACTACTCCTTTTTTTTAAATGATGTATACACACATAACAGGCATATTACTGTAATAAGAATGAGAAAGTTTACCTGACCGTTTACAAGAGGGGAAAACCTTCAATTTTGAAGATCTTAAAAGTCTAAAAGACATTTCGAAAGTTGGGAAAGCTCATTTCCCGCCAACTAGAAATCAAAATTTTCCCGGGGAGAACCCGAACTCTTCCTTTCTCTTTGGCGTTTATAGATTCATGGGAAAAATAACACGTATGCAACTACTCATTTTTTTATGAATACACACATAACAGGCATAGGCCTATACTGTAATAAGAATGAGAAAGTTTACCTGACCGTTTTCAAGAGGTGGAAAACCTTGAATTTTTAAGGACTTTAAATTCCTTAAGTCATTAAAAGACACCTAGCTTAAAGTCAGGAAAGCTCATTTCCCGCCATCTAGAAATCAAAGTTTTCCCGAGGGAGTAAACCCCCACCCCCTTCCATTTTGGGGTTTTTGGAAAAATTTTGGCCCCCACCTCCTAAATTTTATTTCATTCGTATTCCCATTCATTTTACTAGTGAGCCCCCTTGAAAACGAACAAGATGATATAGGCCATAGATAGAATAAAATAGCGCCAAAGATCGATCACTGGGTGCTGTCCGTGGTCCTATTCTTCACTGAGTTTTAAACCGATCAGATCGAAAGTAAAACCCCTGAAACAGAACCATTAAAAAACTCCCAAATCTTATTAGCTCAACTACATTTGACATAGCTCAGGGGAAGTTAAAACATTATCATAAACATGTTAAAATTTTAATTATTTAATCTGATGTCTGATTTGGGACCAATGGTGTGAAGAAGCCTATCACGTTAAATCATAAAGGAAAACTCAATTGGGAGTGTAACCATGTAATTTATTTTCAAATCGTCATTCTTTAAAGTGAAATTCTATATTTTGGAAATGTTGCATGAAATCTGTCAACCACGCTGTCATGGTCGAGGTTGCTTCACCTATCACGACAGAACAGAACGCAAATTATTTTTAATTAGTCTCATTGAATTATTATTATTATTATTATTATTATTATTATTATTATTATTATTATTATTATTATTATTATTATTGTTATTGTTACTGCTGTTGTTGTGATGAAAAGTTAACACAAACAATATGGTGGCTAAACGAATATTACATGTAAATATTTTTTTTATTTGTTTGTTCGCCGACAAAAT